AAGCAGGATGGAGCCAGGAGACATAGAGGAGGCGCATGGGGCCTAGAGACACGTGAAGAAACTGCGCTTGTCTTTTGGTCATGGACTGGGTGACACAGATGTGGGTGAGACCCATGGGGAGGTGACAATGGCAGCTTTTATCTTGATGTTGATTTTGCTCTTTTCCTTCCGGGCTTGTCTGCTTGTTTCTGACCCTTTTCTGTGGGTCCCCACTGGAAGATGCTGTAGACTCGTGGCAGGCTTTGGGGCCTTGCTCTGGGCCAATCCCATTTGGATGGACTTTTACCCACGAGGGGACGGGTAACTTTGGGTGCTTCATTTAGAAACTAGACTCTTGGCCTTACCTGTATTGTTTCCTAGTTTTACTAAAGTTCCTTCTCATTAAAGTCTCCTATGTTTTGTGTTGATGCGGCGGATGGCAGAACCCATTTAGAATAGGCAGGTTTGCGGGGTTTGGGCTGCCCCTCTCCCTGCTCTATAACAAAGCGAGAAACCCACATGGGGAGGAAGACCTCTCCTGACTCACCGGCTGCTTCCCTCAGCATTGTGTTTCAATCTGCCTGTTCTGTTCCCCACTGTCTCTGGTGAATCCTCTCACCACCTGCACCTCTGGCCTATACTCCAGTTCTTGTATGCATAAAATAAATAAATCTTAAAAAAACCTGAACCTATGAAATTAATATATCTATATTTAAAGATTTATTTATTTATGTATACAAGAACTGGGGTATAGGCCAGAAGGTGCGGAGGGTGAGGAGATCCACCAGAGACAGAGTGGGGAACAGAACAGGCAGATTGACTGAAATACTCTGCTAGGGGAGCAGCAGGTGAGTCAGGAGAGGTCTGCAGCACCATGTGGGTAGCTCCCTGGGTGGGAATCGAACTCGTGCTGCAGTGGCTGCTGATAGCTTCATAGGTTGCCTCTTAAGCACTTGCGCCACCAGGGAGGCCCTTAGGTTCAGTTCTGATAGCTAGTTCTGAGTTTATACTTCTATAATTCCCTTCCTAAGAGTAACTTTAGTTATTAATTTTATTTTTTAATTTAAATTTGGAAGTTTACTATTTACTATTTCCCTCAGTTCTCATCAACCTACATGTAGGAAAGTAATAACAATTATGAATGTAGTGCAAATAAAATTTTGTAAAAAAGCAATTTCCTAAAGCATCTTGAATAGAATTAAAATTATTGCCTATCTCTTAACTTGATATAGCTTCATAATTGCCATATAATTCCTAAAATAATTTTGATTTTACACATTGATTGAAATACATTCACTTAATTGAGAAGTCCATGTTTGCTCAAACATGATTAGGTAAAAGTGCAGGCCTGTGTGTCTTAAAACTAATTTCTAGCCATTTCAAAAGTCTGCCTAGGGACCTCCCTGGTGGCACAAGGGGTTAAGACACAGCACCATGAAGCTGTCTGCAGCCACTGAAGCATGAGTTTAATCCCCGGCCAGGGGGAGCTACCCACATGGCGCCATAGACCTCTCCTGACATGCCCTCTGCTCCCCTCAGCAGTGTATTTCAGTCAATCTGCCTGTTCTGTTCCCCACTCTGTCTCTGGTGAATCCTCTCACCCTCCCGTGCCTCTGGCCTGTACCCCAGTTCTTGTATAAATAAATAAATAAATCTTTTTTAAAAATGAAAATAAAAAGTCTGCCCATCAAATGAATAATAATTTTAAAAGTTGAAATTGTCTGAAAAATGAATGAATCACAGGTTCTTATTCTGAGTTAAGTTTGCAACAACAAAAAAGTATATATCCCAGAAGAATAAAAGCCAGTATTAACTCAGTAAAATACAAGTATCTTAGTTGGACAGTTTGGGTTAAAATTAAAAGAAATAAGAGAAAAGGGAAACTTGTTAAGGTTACTGAGTTAACCTTAATATGCAACCTAGGCACAGGCGGTGAATTCATTTTGCCTTACATCTTTGCCATTCTGCACACCTTTGTCATTTCTCTCTTTATAGATAGGCAGACTCTGAATTTGTATGTCTCGCAGACAGCGATCTCTAGAGACTGATGGGAAGCTCTGTCCAAATATCCAGAAGGGAGAACCTGGTTGGCCCAGCATGGGGCATAGGGACAGACTCCCCTAGTCTGACTGCTAATACCTGCACAATGAAAGGATGTTAGGGGGAAAAGGATGTCCCAAAGCTAATTCCATATAGGCTTTGTGGACTCCACCCCCACCCTAGGTCAAAGTCAAAGACACTGGGAACTCCAAATCCCATCACCACCCAAGGGAAGGTGGCTGGGACCTGAGGGTGGGGTTAAGCAGCCAGGTGGATATAAAAGGCAGACACGTGGGCTTTGGAGGGCCCCCCATTTTTGGCTCTCCGCCAGCTCGCAGCCAGCTCTGAGAGTGACTTTGGGTTTCCAGGTCGTCGGATCGGGTAGGACGCATTAAAGACTTTATTTCCCTATTTTCTCCCTGAGTTGTACATTTTCCTTATTTCCTTTTCTCTTGTAAATAAACCTTTTATTAACCTTTTGTGTGTGTCTGTAGTAGAGTATTCATAAGTCCCTTTAAAGTGCGCGGGTGAGGACCCACAGCCAGGAACCCGTTTAATATCGGGGCTGCTCTATAACAAGGGGACAGGCTTCTCTGAACTGGACTAGAAAGACACACAGAAAATGTGTATGATATACAACTTTCATGAGCACATTTCCCTAAGTGCTCTCCTATTAATTATCTGCATCACAGGTAAATGTAGTTATTTTCTGTTGCATCTCTGCCTTGCTTCCTCAGTTTATGCTCTAGCAACAAAGAATTGTTTGCGATCCCATCTACACACCCATTTCCCTGCCTCCCAAACCCCCATCCGTGGATTTTCTGCCTGAGTTCCTGTAATTCTCAGTGATTGCAATGGTCCCCCTCCAATGCCCTTTACTCTCTGAGAGTCAAGCTCTACGCCACTGCTTCCAAGAGAACTTACCAACTACTTTCCTGGACTTTTTTATGCATCATAACAAAGGGCACATAAATCTCTATCATCATCCAATCCCATTGTTTGTGATTCACTTCAGGTGCTGACATTTGTATAACCCCAGTCATGTGAGCCTGGCATGCTGTGGGCACTGCAAAATAGTTGAATGAATCTATTCTAAAAGTTTCCTTTTAGCTAATAATTGACTCTCTAGAGTTAAGAGAGTGTATCATTACATCAATGCCATTGTCTGCATGAATCTCTTAGAACTGTTAACTTGTCAAAGAATTAGATGTCAGGAAGTTCTAATCACACTCCTCCTCTTAGCTGTCTGCCCAGCCCTCTTTACCCCTAGTCCTAAATGAGTTTAATTTCCTTTTCATATTGCTGGGTTTGTCCCCACCCCCCTTCAGATGCAAATGTGCATGGTGCAGTAATGGTGAGAGCATCAGTTTATGAAATCATTATATATTTTTTGCATATAAATATTTTTCAAAGGATGTGTGTAACTACATCCTACAGCTCTGCGGACCTTCAACAACTTTCAATTACAAGGTTCGGCTGATTTCTCAGTTCCCCAGACACACATTTCCCCCTTAAGGATCACTCTGCACTCTGGTTCTAAGCATTGAACGTGCCTTTCCTTTTTTTGTTGTACCCTTTTGACTTTTTATCAAATAGGGAAATGTTGGCTAATCCTAAAAGGAAATTTTGCAAATGATTGACCTTTGTTAATCTCAGGTTTTGCAGGGAGGGCGAGCATTCCCTCGATAAGTATTTTAAATACTCCTAAGTAAGTAAGTGAGTGAATGAATAAATAAACGAATAAAACAGCAAGCCCCGCAGGACGGCCCTTGGGTGCGTTGGGGGTTGCAAGCCCCGCAATTCCTAATAAATGAATTAGCATCTCAGGGAGAAGATAACTGCTGGGCTGATATTGATCAGGGTCAGCCGGTGTGTTTGCCCGCGATTGTTTGGGGGTGGGGGGCGGGGTAGTTAATTGAGTGTCAGTCTTGGCCTGTGTCGTCTCACTGGCGCCGGGTGCTTTTGGATTTGCTAATTTTCCTTAAGTGTCTCTAGCTGGCTACGCGTCCCTTGTCTACCCAGGAGAACTTAGCGGCTCCTACAGATCAACAGTCTGTCTGTCTGGGCTTTATTGATCACGGGGCGGGCGGCTCGAGGCGGATGTGCTGGGGGTAGGGGAGAGGGAAGAAAGCCCAAAGCCGCTCCAGCACCCCGCCGCCCCCCTTCCAGGCTCCCGACTGGACCCTCTGCTCCGCCACAGCGAGCCAGCGGAGCCGGGCAGGGGCGGCCCCGCCCTCTGTGCTCCCCGGGGGACCGCCGCTCGTGCCAGCGGCTCCCAAAGCGCGCAGCGTGGCGGGGGGTCTTCCGTGTTTCGGGGTGACCAAAAAAGCCACAGGCTGGGGGGCGCTGGGCCGTGGCCGAGTTCCCGGAGGCGCGCGCCAGAGACAGACGCAGAGCCCGGGCTCGACCCACTGAAGGTCACGGACACGCGGGTCTCCGCGAGGGGGAGCGCGGGCCCCAGCAGTGGCCCGGCCCGAGCCGCCGCCGGCCGGCGGGCTGGGAGCCGGAGCCGGAGCCGGAGCCGGGCCCGCCCCGTCGGCGTCGGGCCCGCCCCTGGCTGCAGGGGCTGCGGGCCGGGAAGCGGCAGCCAATCGCGCGGCGGCGGCGCGGCGGGGCGGGGCGGGGCGGGGCGGGGCGGGGCGGCGGGGCCGGCTCCCCGCGCGGGGCGCTATTTACGGCGCGGGGCCGGGGCCGGCCGGGGCGGGCGCAGGCGGGAGCTCGCGGCGGCGGCGGGTGTCCGCGCGTGCTCCGGGGCTTCTGCCTTCGCGGAGAGCCGGCCGAGGGGCGCAGCCGGAGCCTTCCCACCCCGGCCTGCGCTCGGCGCGGAGCGAAGCCCCGGGGGTGGCGGAGCCGGGCCGCCCGCGTCCGTGGCTCTCGGGCGCGCGCCCCATGCGCCGGCCGCCGCGCGGCCCCCCGCCCGCTCGCTGACGCCCCGGCCCCCGGGAGCCCCCATGCGCCGCGCGCCCCGGGAGCCGTAGGCTGCTGCCGCGCCGCGTCCCCGGGAGCGGCCAGGGCGCCGCGGCCGTGGGGGCGTCAATGGATCGCCATTCCAGCTACATCTTCATCTGGCTGCAGCTCGAGCTCTGCGCCATGGCTGTGCTGCTCACCAAAGGTGGGTGCCCGCCGGGCGGCCGCGGGCGGGCTCCGCGGGGAGGGGCGCGCGGGGCTCCCGGGGCAGCGGCCGCCGAGGCTCTGTGCGCGCGGGCGAGGGCTCCCCCCGCGCCGGAGCCCGCAGGTCGCTACAAGTTGCTGTTCTTAGAAGGCGCGCGGGAGGCTGGGCGGCCGCCCCCTCGGGTGTCCCGGGCCCGGCGCGGCGCGGCGCGCAGCGGAGTCAGACCTCGGGGCAAGCGGTTGTCAAAATGTTTTTGCAAGTCTGTCTCCAGTGAACTTCCGAGCGCTCGCGGCGGAAGCCTCTCCCCGCCGGCCTCCCCTCCCCGGGGCGGCCCGCGGAGCCGCAGACTCGTGCCCCGATTGGGCTGTGCACGAGCGTGCTTGTGTGTGTGTGTGTGTGCGCTGTATGGCTCTGCCCGTGTGCGTCTGTGTGTTTTTGTGTGTCTGTATGAGTCCGTGTCTCTGTGTGTGTCTGTGAGTGTCTTTGGCGCCAGCAGGTGAGTCTCCCAGAGGGTGCAGGGGTTCAGGTGTGTATCTCAGCGCGGGGGAGGGTGTTGTGTTGCTTCTCCACTGCTGGAGGGAACAGGTTCTGTGTCTGGTCCCATTTCTCACTCCCTTCACTTTACAAACACTAGTCAGGGGAAAAAAAAAAAAAAAAAGGCAGCGGTTAGTTGTCTCTTTTCCCCCGCAGGCATTCACCCTTTAGGTCGGAAAAATACCAAACTCCCAGTAGATTTCAAGGTTCTACCCCCTCTGCCCCCCAGCCCCCAACCATGAACTCTGCTGCTCTGAGAACAGACCTTTTTTTTTTTTTTAATAGGAAGCGTTATTTAGCTTCGGTACCCCCCACTTTTCTCTAATTGCCATGTAGCAGGCATGAGGTTAAAGGATAAAGCTAGCCCAGCAAGGATGATGTGCTACAGTATTTATTTATTTTGGAAGGAAGGGTGTAATTAACCCTAAATAACAGCCCTCGCAGCCTGCAGAGGGGAGCCTCCTGGCCCTATCAAAGGCCAGCAGAACTGGGAGGGACTGGGCTGACATGAAGTCACAGATACCGAAACTATGTGCCTGATAATGATATAATTAGGGGATCAGAGATTTCTGACTGCTGCGGACTTCAAAAGCTTTAAAAGAAGCCAGCAGACTCTCCTGTAGCCATCTTGACTAAAGCAGACATTTTTGTTTAATCACTACATACAGTAACAAGAAAGGGGGGAAACAGAAGCGCATTGTTCGCTGTTTCAAAATACCAGTCCCCTCGCTGGCCTTTTGCATGCCACAGGAAGAGACTTTATGAAACGACAGAAATATAGTTTTAATACAGTAATACAAAAGTCCATTCTCCTTGTGAAAATGTGGCTCCAATTAAAAAAAAAAAGTTGTTAGAACTTGCCTAGTTACCTGTCAAAATTTTATTAGACTGTTTTAGGTCATTGAAAATACAGTATTTTTAAATAGGTTCTCATAAACATTTATGCAGTATTTTACTTGTATTCAGTTTTCTTTTTTTGTACCAGGTTGGAGGCTAATAGGATCAAAATGGACTTTTAATCTGTTTTACTTCTATTTGAAATCTATATATGGGATTTGTCAGAGTAGGGACATGTAGTCATCCCCACAGGAGACCGGTGAGCTTTATGAGACAAATCCAGTCAGCGTGGAGAGAGGCAAGAAGGCCCTCTGAAGCAAGGTTCTGACTTGAAGGAGACCGGCCCTGGGGGACTAGAGCCCAAACCCAGGATAGGGAGTGCAGATGAGGGAGAAGACCTCCTGTTTGGGATGGTTAAACTGGGTTGCAAAGATCTGTGTTTAGTTGGCTGGTGTTTTTTTTCCTCTATAGCTGAAGCCTTAGCCTGTGAAAACTGAGCATACCATACAGTGGTCTGGAATTTGGACAGATAATTAAATGAGACGCCTTACTGAGGCCTTCAGAGAGAGGGGGAGGAAAGGTGAAGTTGGGAGGAGGTTTGCAAAGCATCAGTCCCCGGGGTTTAATTTCTGCAAGACTTCAGAACTAGACAGAACTCCAGGGTGGGGGAGCTGGGAAGAAGTGTGTGCATTTGTTCAATCGGCAGCAGCCTTAGTGTGACATGTGACAATGACCTGAGTCCATGGGGTTAAGATTGCCTATTGGTGATAACTCGGAGACCCAGGGTGTATCAAGGAGAAATTGATGTTAAAAGCCTCAGATCTCCTGTTGCGACAACATGTTAACAGTGACTTGCAACTCGCAAAATACATTTTATAAAGGAAACTTTTAATCACTTCCTGTAGAAAAATTTGAGGTTTCCTTAAGGATTTTTCATTCAACCAGCAGAGGATTTTCAGTTTCAGTGGTTCCCCTTTTAGACCCCATGTTGAATTACATGTAAGACTGGAGGGTTAGGGGGAGGGGAAGTTAGCCTTGCAATTTTACACCCCCCTCCCCTGCCTTCAGTTTTATGACTTTCCATTTGGGCTGAAAGAAATTGACTTTGGCAAGCAAACCACTAATTGTAAACTGCCTAGTTCCTGTTTTACAATATACTGACTAAAAGCTCCTCTGCATGAAAAGATCTTTATAGGCAAAGTTTGCCTTTTCTAGAGAGGTTGCAAATAGCTGCCCAGTTTCATAGTTTTAAAACCTCCTGACTGGAGCAATTTCTAGATTGTTGTGTTTCTAGTTAATAACTTTATAAGGTGTTAGCTAAAGCTCTTAAATCTTGGCACAGCCCTTCCAGGTAGTAAACAATTCAGTAGTTCCGATCAAATATTTATACTGACAAAATCAAAAGCCTAGCATTTTTATGTTGTATGGTTACGTCGGATTAAAATGAATAAATAATATCATTTGCCTGGTGATGGGAGAAATTATGTCGATGATGATTTTCCTTCAAAAACCAACAGCATTATTCTTGCTTACTCTGATTCCTCAGAAATCTAAATCAAACTTTGATTCTTTGCTGCTGAGATTAAGATTCTAAAACTGTATTGCGCTCGATTGAAGCACACACTGCAGGAAGGACTTTCCCAGGCTGCAAGGACCAACGTGGCCAGCACTCAGCTGAATTGTGTCTAAAAGATGGTGCTTTCGAACTTGTTTTAGTAATTGCTTGAGTCAATGCATTACCTGGTCTCTGCAGCAGAGTTGACTCAGTTTCTCATTGTTTTCAGGTGAAATCAGATGCTACTGTGATGCTGCCCACTGTGTGGCGACCGGCTACATGTGTAAATCCGAGCTCAGCGCCTGCTTCTCCAGACTTCTAGATCCTCAGAACACAAATTCCCCACTCACCCATGGCTGCCTAGACTCTCTTGCAAGCACAGCTGACATCTGCCAAGCCAAACAGGCGCAAAACCACTCTGGCACCGCCATGCCCACAGTGGAATGCTGTCATGAAGATATGTGCAATTACAGGGGCCTGCATGATGTTCTCTCTCCCCCCAAGGGGGAGGCCTCAGGTAGGTAGAAGCCCTTTCTAGACCACATGCTTGCCCGATCTATAGGATTGTGACAGCCGCGACTTTGTATGTCTGCTATTGATTTTGCTGTTAATGTAATTAGAGACACCAGAGGGAGAAGCATGGCTGGATGCAAAGATGCATCACTATTGAGTAGCTTTTATGTCTGCTTGAGCATTAGATGTCTGTCTACATAATAGGTTTTGCTTGCTTTTTCAACATTTTGACGATATTAAAAGGCCATTACTACTCAGTAATGACAGTCTGTAAACAAACGTTTTTGTAAGCTTCTTTGAATCCTTTTGCAATATTTATTTCTGAGTATTGTTGATTTAATTGCAAGCTTTTAAAACATGGGGTTGCCTTGTTTAAAATAGATAGATAATTGTGACTATCTACTGGAGGAGTGAACGGAGAGTTTGATCTTTCTGTTTGTGCCTCCTGTAGGACAAGGAAACCGATACCAGCAAGATGGTAGCAGAAACCTCATCACCAAAGTGCAGGAGCTGACTTCTTCCAAAGAGCTGTGGTTCCGGGCGGCAGTGATTGCTGTCCCCATCGCCGGAGGGCTGATTTTAGTGTTGCTTATTATGTTAGCCTTGAGGATGCTGCGAAGTGAAAACAAGAGGCTGCAGGATCAGCGGCAACAGATGCTTTCACGTTTGCACTACAGCTTTCATGGACACCATTCTAAAAAGGGGCAGGTTGCAAAGTTAGACTTGGAATGCATGGTGCCCGTGAGTGGGCATGAGAACTGCTGTCTGACCTGTGATAAAATGAGACAAGCAGACCTCAGCAACGATAAGATCCTCTCGCTGGTTCACTGGGGCATGTACAGTGGGCACGGGAAGCTGGAATTTGTATGACCGGGTCTTATCTGAATTGAACTTTTGGACGCTTGAAGGTCTTTGAGTTCTGCTGGACAGGAGCACTTTATCTGAAGAAAAACAAACTCATGTAATCATCTTTGAGAGATAGAATGACCTCTGCAAACAGAATTTTGGATATTTCTTCTGAAGGATTATTTGCACAGACTTACATACAGTCAAATGTATTATTTGCGGTAAAATTATAAAAAGCAAAGCAAAGACTATGTACACATTGTTACCAGGGTTATTTACATCTGAGGGAGCTGGAACCGAGTACTTAAATAAACTAAAACATGCTCTATGTAAGCTCCTACATCTTGATTTATTGTAAAGATTTAAAAATATATATATATTTTGTCTGAAATTTAGCGGCGTCTTGTCATAAATTAAAAGCTGAGAGGGAAGTGTAAGAGACGACCTGTTAACTACACAAACGATGATCTGTTGCTCACAGTCGCTTCTCAACTATAGGTTGGGCTTGATTTAAAAAAAAAAAAATAAGGTCGAGATCTTGTTTATTATAATGCACATGTGTAATTTTCTACAGTGTGGAGAGTCTCTGAATGTGTATTGCCAGTCATTCAGTGTATTGCATTTTTGGTTAGGATAATTCCGGTTTTTGCTTTCATCTAAGAGAAATCTTAAACTTATTTATACCAGGTCAGATAGGATCTGTCCATTTCTGAAGTTGCCTTAGCAAAGGTAGTATTTATCACCTTGATCCCTTTGCCCTGGAATACTTTTCTAAATGTGTCTACCTCCACCAAAAAAGACGTACTATATGAAACTTTTTGTATAGCTCAAATTAGTCACTGTCTACTTTTGCTGTTGATTGATTCATCAACAGTTTAGTCTGTCTCAAACCAAATGAAATATTTTGGACCAAAAATTAGCCAAACTTTTCTGTACCATGCTCCTGGTTTTCAAACCTTCCTCACTTAATACAGTGTTATACTTTTCTTTTTTTTTTTAAATTTCTCAAGCTTTAGAAGTGTTGTCAGTAGTAACATTATATGCCAATTGAGATTTAAATAACACAGGGCTACGAGGTGTCCTCCCCAAATGATCCTTTTATTAACACAACCAAATAGAACACTAACTCTCAACCCCTAATCTGTCCAGTGACAGTGCCTCCACTCCTGCAGAGCTCTAGCAGGACTGCCCAGCCTGAATTTAAACTGATGTCACATTTGTGTATTTCCTTCCCAAATGGGTGTTTGTTATCTTAAATGTGAGAATAATTTGCCATGTAGGGTTTTTTTTTTTTTTTTTAATCTCAATTCTTTTGTATATTTCAAACTTTTGCTTAAAAATTAACCTATTGCCTGCATATCTGAGTATGGGATTTTCCTTAATGAATGTTAGAACTTTTTTTTTTTAATTTGGTTATTTTCTGATAAGCATAATTTGGATCCCTTAAGACAGATATACTGGCCAAGTTTATGGAAGACTCTGAGTTGAAACGGCTGGTCTAAAAATGAATACTTAGATTATTTAATAATTAATAGACCACAGCCCCAGACAAATTAGGCTATGGAATAAATATGCATTTCAATAAATGACACATTTGTATTGTGCTTTTTGAGATCAACAGTGCTTATATGCATGACATGATTTATAAAAGGTGTTAAGTTTGATGTGTGTCGATTTTTGAGGGAGTCAAAAAATTACTATAGTTGACAAATAATTGATGAACATCACTAGTTGGTGAAATTTCCACACTCACCTCCACTTTCTAACTCTAGAGCAAGTTAGTCATTTTGCACTACAAGACTCAAAAGATTTCTTGTTCCTTCTACATTCTTGTTTCATGTACAGCATCAGTTAAGTAGACAGTGTTTATATCAACTCTGTAGTTAATTTTCCTGCCTGGTTTTTATTCTGTTCACCCCAATTTTTCCAAATACCAGTTAATTATCAACTCTGCAACTCATTGAGAAATAAAGCAACGAAGCCATTTAAAGCCATAGGCCTTGAAACACTTGGAAATCTGTAAACTCCAGCCTTCAGGAAAGGCTTGAATCAGGGCAAGTTCTAGAATCACAGGAACTGAATGGAAGTTGGAAGCAAAGTGTCTAACCTGCTGCTGCTTTATACTGTAAATTCATGAGGCTGTTGACGCCTCTCTGTTCAGTGGGGCTGGTGGCACTGGACCAGCTCTGGTCAGACTGGGTTTTCTGGGGCTCAAGCTCTAGCCAGGTAATAGATTGAGTCTGTGTCTTTTAATAACAGCCTTTCCCCTTGTCCCCGCATTCAGGCAGTAGCTAAATAGACAGATTCTACTTTTGCTTGCCTCTCAAAGTGAAGTCGCCCAGAGCAGAGATAAAGGACACTCCATGAAACCTACCTGATTGGGTGACCTAAGAATGGTGATGACTGGTTTATTTGTTTTTCCCTCCTAGAGATGTTTACTATTTCGTTGAGGTGTCAGTACAAGGTTGGGTTAACCAGGAACAGCCCCGGTTTAACATTGACATAGAACACCCCCCAAAAAGTAATTTTTCTTCCTCAGTGGAAATTTGCCCAAACTGGAGACAAATGGGACCAAATTTGTTTTGCCACGATGTTTCTGTATCTACACCCCTTACATTCCACCCCTTTTGAAAAAATTGATCTGTACATGGTTATGTCTTTTATGTTCTTTTCCCCCCTTATTTTGTATGGCTCAGAGATTTCCTAGAAATTGACTGGCGTGTCTCTAATTTCTGCTGAATTGATTTTATTAAAAACACTGCACCATAGGGGGTTTGACCTTCTAAAATACCAAACATGTCTGCTTTAGAAAATCACAAAGCTCTCCTCTGAAGAGTCATAAATCTGGTTTCAATATGGGTTGATTATAGGCTAAAAGCTTAAAAGCAGTGGCATCTAGTATCATGAGTTTGTAACTAGCCTTTTTGGGGCCAGGACAGCTTTTTTCCCTTATAAGCTTTAATTGGTCCTCTTCTCTGTCTCCTAGTCCAAATAACTTCAAACCTCCAAAAGTTCACAGTGTGATGAGGCCCAGCCCATGTAGGTGGTTGGCAAGGGTACTTTGGAGTCTCAAAGCCTGAGTTCAAATGCTGCCTTGTCCCTTGCAGCTGTCTGAACTTGACCACATTACTTATGTCCTTAGATACTCAGTTTTGTTACCTAGAAAATGGGGGCAATAATGATAATTTTTTTAAAGATTTATTTATGCATACGAGAACTGGGGCACAGGCCAGAGGTGCGGGGGGTGAGAGGATTCACCATAGACAGAGTGGGGAGCAGAACAGGTAGACTGATGAAATACAGTGCTGAGGGGAGCAGCGGGCGAGACAGGAGAGGTCTGCTTCACCAAGTGGGTTAGCTCCCTGGCCAGTGGGGATCAAACTCTTGCTGCAGAGGCTGCAGATAACTTTGCAGTGCTGTGCTTATCCCCTCGCCCCACCAGGGAGATCCCAATAATGACAATTTATAAGATTATTGTGAGGAGGTATGTTAACCATTCCTATTCATCTTCACAAGACCCTAGACTGAGCTGAAGTTTCAAAATTTGAAACTTGTGCTTCATATACAGAGAGTGGGCATTTCTCCTTGACTTCAGTATTTCAGATCTTTCCGTATTTGAGATTTGCAGGCCCTTCAGTCACCTGCAGACTGATTTAGCATTTTTAGTATTTGTTTTCAGTATATTGCTTTTGTTGCCTATCAATTAATTATGTTGGTTTATAATTGTTTCCTTTTTAATAATCTAGATGGCCACTGAAGATAATATTTTAATTTGATGTGCCTATGTTGTCTTTTTGGTCTTCGGCAGAAAAGTTTTCTTAGAGTTTCAGTTTATTCATCAAGGACATCAAAAGAGCCAAGTTTGAAGACAGATAATTTTTCAGAATTGTTCGTTCAGTTTGTGTCTGTCTGATGGGTACGTTGTGCTGTCAGTTACAATTTGTAAGCCCTAGGTGTTACAAAGAGTTCCACAACAGTTTTTGGAGATTTTGTGAATTTGGGAAGGGGTTTCTAGTTTGTGAATAATCCTCTTCATTCTCCTCAATGAAGTTAATGGTGTTCCTTGAACTGCAGGTCACAGTTATAGTGGAAAAAAATAACTGCTCCCGACACCAGCTCACTCTTCACTACATTCAATTCCTCCTGTCAATGTTGCCCTCACTCTGTCTTAAAAGGCAGATTGTTGATCTGAGAACTTGAGATTCAACGAAATGAGGAAATTTAATGCTCTTTCAAATGTTGACTTTTAATTTTTATTGTATACTCTAAACACATCCTTGCTAATCTACTAACCCTGCATAGTTTTAGAGGGTAGTTGTGTGATTTACTTTGTCTGCCATTCTGGTAATTTGAAGATAGAATTGGGGAGGTAACACAGCTGAGTTTAACCAGAGGTTTTTTTTTTTTCCTTCCAGCAAGGCAGCGATTTTCTAGTGGATATGCTCTGTAGAGTGTTGCACTGTTTGTTAACAGGGGAGGCCTACTAGCCATATTTCTGCAAACTGGAAAGGCACTGATTAGCAGTCTTGGGAATACTCTGGGTAAGCAGTTAGACACGCTCTCAAGGCATTTTTTGGGACTTTTTTTTTCAAAGATTTATTTATTTATGCACACAAGAACTGGGATACAGGCCAGCGGTGTGGGAGGTGAGAGGATACACCAGAGACAGAGCAGGGAACAGAACAGACAGACCGACTGAAATATACTGCTGAGGGGAGTACCTGGCGAGACAAGGGAGGTCTGCTGCACCATGTGGGTATCTCCCTGGCTGGCGAGGGATCGAACTTGTGCTGCAGTGGCTGCGGTTAGCTTTGTAATGCTGTGCTAAACCCCTTGCGCCACCAGGGAGGCCCCATATTTCAGGACTTGTAGGAGATTCAGTCCATCTAGTAACCTGTGGCCGATGGCCCCTCAGGGGCTGTGTTTTTTTTTTTAAGATTTATTTATTTATTTATGCATACAAGAACTGGGGTACAGGCCAGAGTGGGACCTGAGATGATTCACTAGAGACAGAGTGGGGAGCAGAACAGGCAGACTGACTGAAATACACTGCTGAGGGGAGCAGTGGGTGGGTCAGGAGAGGTCTGCTGTGCCATGTGGGTCACCTCCCTGGCTGGGGATCGAACTCATGCTGCAGTGGCTGCGTATAGCTTCATAGTGCTGCATCTTAACCTCAGGGGCTATTTTAAATTGTGTGAAGCTACCTATATTTTACAGATTTCATTATTGTTGGACTAAAGCTGCATAGAGTTCAGGAAATGTTAGCTGACAAGTGAAAGCGCATGCCATATGTATATGTATGTGCCTGCTAGCTAAATAGTCCATAATCCTGGAATGAGCGTACATTTAGCAATTTTTAAGACAGTAGGAAAATAGATGCTGGATTTTGTG